GGAAACCGGGCAACCGGGCAACCGGGCAACCGGGCAACCGGGAAACCGGGCAACCGGGCAACCGGGAAACCGGGAAACCGGGAAACCGGGAAACCGGGAAACCGGGCAACCGGGCAACCGGGCAACCGGGCAACCGGGAAACCGGGCAACCGGGCAACCGGGAAACCGGGAAACCGGGAAACCGGGAAACAGGGAAACCGGGCAACCGGGCAACCGGGCAACCGGGAAACCGGGAAACCGGGAAACCGGGAAACCGGGCAACCGGGCAACCGGGAAACCGGGAAACCGGGAAACCGGGCAACCGGGCAACCGGGCAACCGGGCAACCGGGAAACCGGGAAACCGGGAAACCGGGAAACCGGGCAACCGGGCAACCGGGCAACCGGGAAACCGGGAAACCGGGCAACCGGGAAACCGGGCAACCGGGCAACCGGGCAACCGGGCAACCGGGAAACCGGGCAACCGGGCAACCGGGCAACCGGGCAACCGGGCAACCGGGCAACCGGGAAACCGGGAAACCGGGCAACCGGGCAACCGGGAAACCGGGCAACCGGGAAACCGGGAAACCGGGAAACAGGGAAACCGGGCAACCGGGCAACCGGGAAACCGGGAAACCGGGAAACCGGGCAACCGGGCAACCGGGCAACCGGGAAACCGGGAAACCGGGCAACCGGGCAACCGGGCAACCGGGCAACCGGGAAACCGGGAAACCGGGAAACCGGGCAACCGGGCAACCGGGCAACCGGGAAACCGGGCAACCGGGCAACCGGGCAACCGGGAAACCGGGAAACCGGGAAACCGGGCAACCGGGCAACCGGGCAACCGGGAAACCGGGAAACCGGGCAACCGGGCAACCGGGCAACCGGGCAACCGGGAAACCGGGAAACCGTAAAACCGGGCAACCGCGCAACCGGGCAACCGGGAAACCGGGCAACCGGGAAACCGGGAAACCGGGAAACCGGGAAACAGGGAAACCGGGCAACCGGGCAACCGGGCAACCGGGCAACCGGGAAACCGGGAAACCGGGAAACCGGGAAACCGGGCAACCGGGCAACCGGGAAACCGGGAAACCGGGAAACCGGGCAACCGGGCAACCGGGCAACCGGGCAACCGGGCAACCGGGCAACCGGGCAACCGGGCAACCGGGCAACCGGGCAACCGGGCAACCGGGCAACCGGGAAACCGGGAAACCGGGAAACCGGGCAACCGGGCAACCGGGCAACCGGGCAACCGGGCAACCGGGCAACCGGGAAACCGGGCAACCGGGAAACCGGGCAACCGGGCAACCGGGAAACCGGGCAACCGGGCAACCGGGCAACCGGGAAACCGGGCAACCGGGAAACCGGGAAACCGGGAAACCGGGCAACCGGGCAACCGGGCAACCGGGCAACCGGGCAACCGGGAAACCGGGAAACCGGGAAACCGGGCAACCGGGCAACCGGGCAACCGGGCAACCGGGCAACCGGGCAACCGGGCAACCGGGCAACCGGGAAACCGGGCAACCGGGAAACCGGGAAACCGGGCAACCGGGCAACCGGGCAACCGGGCAACCGGGCAACCGGGCAACCGGGAAACCGGGCAACCGGGCAACCGGGAAACCGGGCAACCGGGCAACCGGGCAACCGGGAAATCGGGCAACCGGGAAACCGGGAAACCGGGAAACCGGGAAACAGGGAAACCGGGCAACCGGGCAACCGGGAAACCGGGAAACCGGGAAACCGGGCAACCGGGCAACCGGGCAACCGGGCAACCGGGAAACCGGGCAACCGGGCAACCGGGAAACCGGGAAACCGTAAAACCGGGCAACCGGGCAACCGGGAAACCGGGAAACCGGGAAACCGGGAAACCGGGAAACCGGGAAACCGGGAAACCGGGCAACCGGGCAACCGGGCAACCGGGAAACCGGGAAACCGGGAAACCGGGATACCGGGAAACCGGGAAACCGGGAAACCGGGAAACAGAGCAACCGGGAAACTGGGAAACCGGGAAACCGGGAAACCGGGAAACCGGAAAACCGGGAAACCGGGAAACAGAGCAAGCGGGCAACCGGGCAACCGGGCAACCGGGAAACCGGGAAACCGGGCAACCGGGAAACCGGGCAACCGGGAAACCGGGAAACCGGGCAACCGGGCAACCGGGCAACCATGCAACCGGGCAACCGGGAAACTGGGAAACCGGGACACCGGGCAACCGGGAAACCGGGACACCAAGAAACCGGGAAACCGGGCAACCGGGCAACCGGGAAACCGGGAAACCGGGAAACCAGGAAACCGGTCAACCGGGCAACCCAGCAACCGGGAAACCGGGAAACCGGGAAACCGGGAAACCGGGAAACGGGGAAACCGGGAAACCGGGAAACCGGGAAACCGGGAAACGGGCAACCGGGCAAATACAAAGTGCAAACTACACTAAGCTAGGATATAAATGTTTGTATAAAATGTGAGATTGAGGGCTAACACTGATAGAGCCATGACATGTGCTCACAGCATGGCGAGCCATGGCATGTCAGAAACGACATCGAGTCCGCTGCTGAGCTGATTGCCACCCACAGACCTGCATGGCAGACCAATGCATGGTGGGATAGGTGTGATCCATGGAGCAATAGCTGGGATGCATGGTAGCATACCATGTGATTCAATGTGGGGCAGCAATGAGACAAGCCAACAGGCAGCGATAAGCTGAGCCTCGCATGCGAAGGCAGTAGCAAAGGCAACCGCACAGCATGGATCAGATCAGACCAGATTGGGGTTGCCATCCATACAGATGCATGTCTCAACGCATGTCAACTCATGTGTCAACTCACGTGTCAACTCATGTATCGATTCACGTACAGTTCACGCATGTATGCCAGCCCAGTGAAGGTTCTTGGAATGCCTCCCACGAAGCGGTTGTTCCGCAACTCCCTGAACCGTATAGAACCATATAGAACCGAATGCAGACAATCAATGGCCGTTCAGAATATTGCAGGTTTGCAATGTGAGAGTACTGCAGCTATGCGACGCGACTCACAGCTCCATGAGGTTTGGAAGCGATCCAAGGAAGTCCGGAATGGGTCCGCCAAACTGGTTGTTGCCAATGTTCCTGCGCGGCGGGGAGAGGAACGCAACACATGCGAGATATGTGCGAGATGCGTGGTGTGGCCCGTGCATGGCACATGCGAGTTGCATGTGATACATGCAGCTAGCGCATAGTGCACACATACGAGGCAAGAGCAGCCCGTCAGTGCTTACAGAGTCTCTAAATTGGACGAGAAGACTTGGGGGAGCGTCCCTGAGAGCCCGTTGGCGTTGAGATTCCTGGGGACAGGGAATCACGGAGCAAGACAGAAAGGGCAGGGAGAGACGGAAGGAGCATTGTGCAGTGAGCAGGGGGGATTCATTCGATCCATTACTTTGTGCTAGGACAGTCAGTATAAACTATTCCCTGCAGGTGACTTGAACGAGATGGAGAGAGGATATAGAGTGCTTGCGCGGACCTTGAACGGGACATCGGGATGAGGTGAATGACTGGGCAGCAGCACTCACAGGTGGGTGAGAGCCTTGAGAGCGGAGTAGCTGCCTGGGATAGAGCCCTCCAGCTTGTTCCCTTGCAGATCGCTGAGAGGGGATTGAATGAGATGAAAGGTGGTGGGAGGGCAAGGAAGGGCGATGGTGTAGAAGTGCTCGTGAGGCGCCTTACAGATTTTTGAGAGAGAGAGAGAAGAGTGAGAAGCAAGGTTCGGTGTCGAGTTGTCTCAGATCGAAACATTCGAGTTATTTCCAATGCAAATATCTTGGGAAGAATGATGTAAAAGGGGAGGTGCAGGACGAGCGGTGCGGCGAGCGGAAAGCCGGAAGAATCAGATCCACAAGTACATGGTGAAGGAAGACTCACGTCTTTGGGAGGAATGAGACTCACAGGCGTTCCAGTGCAGTGAGGCCGCTCCATGTCTCTGGGAGGAAGCCCGACAGGCCGTTGCCAGCAGCAAGACTGCGGGAAGAGAGGCAACGCAGGGTGCGGAATGAGAAGCTAAGATACCACTCATGGCTGCAAGCCTAGACGGTAGTGCAGTCAAAGGAAGCTCACTGTTTGAGCAGCACCGGACACTGACAAGGTGCGGCACTGACAAGGTGCGGCACTGACTGACAAGTTGCAGCACTGACTGACAAGGTGCGGCACTGACTGACAAGGTGCGGCACTGACTGACAAGTTGCGGCACTGACTGACAAGTTGCGGCACTGACTGACAAGTTGCGGCACTGACTGACAAGGTGCGGCACTGACTGACAAGTTGCGGCACTGACTGACAAGGTGCGGCACTGACTGACAAGTTGCGGCACTGACTGACAAGTTGCGGCACTGACTGACAAGGTGCGGCACTGACAAGGTGCGGAGGCCAGTGAGCCTGTTGAGGTCGCGGGGCATGTAGCCCCGGCGCTGCTCGTACTGGTGCAACACATCTCTGCCAGGGCGGGTGGGTGCCATGCCAGGAGAGGTGCGCGCACAGGAGGGATCTTTGACAGTTTCAAAACACTCCAATCCAGACATGAAACCCACTAATGGCTAAGAAATTTGAAATTTTTCTACTGAGTTGCGGAGAGGCATGTGATTGCTGAGAAGGGCCTGCACAGTGTGGAAGCGGTGATGCAATGGCCTCGCGAGTATTCCTTAGGCCAAGCGCGTTTGTTCTCTGGCTGAGTGAATATGGTTTCACGAGCACCCTGTTGAACAGGGCCTGCTTGTGTGCTCTGCTGAGCGCTCACATGTACTGGAGGCGGGTGAGGTCAACAATCCAGGTTGGGAAGTCGGAAAAGTAGTTGTAGGACAGGTCCCTGGCGGTGCAGAGGGGTTGAGAGCGGTGCCCGGTGGGGAAGTGGGAGAAGAGGGCGCGGTTGGTGAAGGGGAGGGTGTTGGGGAAGGGGTTGGCGAAGTTGCAAGACACATTCCTGGAGTAGGTGCTGGTTGGGAGCGTCTCAGTGCGGTGCAAGGAGGTGAGAAGCGGTGAAAAGAGGCTAGATACCCCTCAGACCAGGAGCAGCACAGCAGCACACAAGGAGGCAAAATGTACGTTGAGAAGTGCAGGGGGGTTTAGTGCGGTGATTTCATACAGGTGGGTGAGCTGAGTGAGGAAGCCAAGCTGATAGGGCAGCTCTCCGACCACTCTGCCCAGGTCCCCTAGCACACTGATGGCGAAATAAGTGGGTTACAAATTGGTGGGTTACAGCCGGAGGGAAGAATAGCAGATTGGGGCGCATGAGGTCAGTAGCAATAGATAAGCGGCGGGATCCAAGAACATACAGGGAAAAGCATTGTGAAAAGTAGGGTGGATTCTAGCAAGCAAGCGAGCGACACTCACAGCTTGTGCAGGCGCGTGAGGGTGGAGAGGCCGCTGAGAGCAGTCATAAAGCAGTCTGTCATGGCATCAAAGCCAAAGAGCTCCAGCGTGTGCAGGCGGGTGAGGCGAGACACGAAGGTGAGCGTGGTGATGGAGCCTCCCACTGGAGCGCCCTGTAGGTGAATGTTGCTGGGCAGTGGTGGGTGTGGTGGGTTCAGCGTGGTGTGGTGTGGTGTGGTGTGGTGTGGGGTGGGTGAGGTGGGGTGGGGAACATGGAATCCAGGAAGAGAGGAGGGGATGAGAAGGCGGGGGTGACGATGGTGGGTTGTGGAGGTGGGTGGAGTGTGGTGGTGGTGGGTTGACGAGAGATGTAGCAACAATTGCCACTGAGGGAGATTGATGTGACGAGGCGTTCCACAAAGGGAGAGTGTGTGGCAGGCGAGGTGCGAACATGCCAGAACAATGAGTTGAGTAGAGAGGCGTGGGAAGGGGGACTCACAGGTAGGAAAGCTTGGAGAGGGCACTTAATGTGGACGGCAGCTCGCCTGATAAGGATGTGTATGCGAGGTCCCTGTGGGATAGAGTGGGAAACCACGGCAGAGCACTATAGTGAGGAAAAAATAGGGATGTAGGGAAGTGAAGAGGTGCAAGGAAGCAACGAGATGGTGTAGCATGGAAGTGCAGCGTGGAAGTGCAGCGTGGAAGTGCAGCGTGGAAGGAACTCACAGGTGTTCGAGGTTGGTGAGGTGGGAGAAGGTGGAGGGAATGGGTCCGGATACTTGAGTGGCCGTGAGGTCACTGGTGCCATGATGCACCATGCCACACCGTGCGGCACCATGTAAAACCATGCCAAAACACCGCGCCATGCACATAAAAGAAGAAAGGGAGGAAAGGGAGACACTATATGGAACAGCTCCAGATGCATTGATAGAATGGAATGGAAGGCGATGCAGCAAGGAGGTGGCAGATGAGATACGAGAGGCATGGGTGGATGGGTGTGAGGCTGTGAGCACGGGGGAGGGAATGGAGGAGGAGGCAGGCAGCGGCAACCCTCAGACAGATGTGCCACGCGGGGCGCCCCACTCTTGCTCTGGGCATTCTGGGGTATGTGCCACGCGGGGCGCGTAGAGGTGGCTTACAGATAAGCGAGGTTGAAGAGGGTGGAGAGAGTGTCGGGCAAGGTGCATTGAGGTGCATTTTTTTAGGCGCCTCTAAAATCACCGCAAGGGCAGAGGGGGATGGCTTACAGATAAGCGAGGTTGGTGAGGGCGGTGAGAGCGTTGGGCAAGGCACCGGAGACTGCTGTGTATGAGAGGTCCCTGCAAGGAGCGAGCAGGAACAGGGAGAGAGGGGTCGCAAAAGAGGCTTTCGAAGGGATCCGGTGGGACTGGTCAACAAAGGAAAGGTGGGCTGCGGAGTCCTTATGGGCATCGCATTGCTTGCACCCATGCAGACTCAATTTGGTCGGGGGGAAGAACGCAGCTGCGCTGCTAGCACGCTCAGCTGCGCTGCTAGCACGCTCAGCTGCGTTGCTAGCACGCTCAGCTGCGTTGCTAGCACGCTCTGCTGCGTTGCTAGCACGCTCGGCGGCGTTGCTAGCACGCTCTGCTGCGTTGCTAGCACGCTCTGCTGCGTTGCTAGCACGCTCTGCTGCGTTGCTAGCACGCTCTGCTGCGTTGCTAGCACGCTCAGCTGCGTTGCTAGCACGCTCAGCTGCGTTGCTAGCACGCTCTGCTGCGTTGCTAGCACGCTCTGCTGCGTTGCTAGCACGCTCAGCTGCGTTGCTAGCACGCTCTGCTGCGTTGCTAGCACGCTCTGCTGCGTTGCTAGCACGCTCTGCTGCGTTGCTAGCACGCTCTGCTGCGTTGCTAGCACGCTCTGCTGCGTTGCTAGCACGCTCGGTGGGGGAAGAACGCAGCTGGGTGGGGGAAGAACGCAGCTGCATGGGGAGAAACGCACTTGGGTGCGGCGCGGTGCCGTGCCGTGCCGTGCAGTGCGGTGCGGTGCCGTGCGGTGCGTCGCAAGGTGACTTACAGGAAGGCAAGGGCTGGTGGGAGGGCGGCAGCATGCAGCTTTCCCTGAAGTTGAGGGTTGTTGGCCATGCTCCTATGGGGGAATGGGAGAGGGGAGAGGCATCACAACCCCACACGGGTTTTGAGGCGCCCCAACACTCAATGCCATGCGAGTGAGTCGTGAGTTGAGGGCTGTTGGCCATGCTCCTGACGGGGGAGGGGAACCACTATCCCACACACATATGTGGCATGCAGGGAATGGAGGCAGGACATACACGTGTGTGTAGGCACACCCATGAGTGGTACCATACACAGTACGTGACTTGATCGCATGCAGCACACATACAGGTGTATATAAGCACATACAAGCACGTACAGGCAGGTGCAGGCACGTACAGGCACGTACAGGCACGTACAGGCACGTACAGGCACGTACAGGTATGTGAGGCGCCATAGCTGGGCGAGTGCATAGGGAGGCAGAGAGCCTGACAACGTCCCCACTTGCGACAGGTCCCTGGGCAGACAGACACACAGGGGGAAACACGAGCCCGGCAGGCAAGAACGCGGAGGTGCGAGAGCCGGGGGGACAGGAGCCCAGGGGAAGAAACGGAGGTAGGAGTGAACGGGGTGAGGCGGAGATATGTGCTGGCTTGTGACGCATATCCACATGTGTATCGCTCAGGCATGGTGATTGTTGGGGCTTGTGCACCGCGGGGTGCTACCTTGTGTGCCTCACAGAGTGCAGACAAGTCATTCCCAGGGGACTCACTCCCAGGCGACTCACTCCCAGGCGACTCTTTCTCCAAAGTGGCTCAAACTTCTTTTTCTCTCAAAGGTGTCTTACAGGCGGGTAACAAAGCCTCGAGCGTCGCATGTGACACCAGCCCAGTGGTTGCAGGAGAGGGAGCTGTTGCTGTTGCTCGGCCATGCCCTCACAGCACGGTTGATGGCTAGCAACGCACGCACTGAGAGAGGTGGAGTGCGGTGAAGGGAGGTGGAAGACGGTGCATCAGCGAGAGGTGAAGTGGATTTTGCGAGAGTGCATATGGAGAGACTCTCTCCATAAGGAGAGGGACGGACAGCAGCGGAGAACGCTGGGGTGGAACGCGCAAGACACCGGGGGAATGACATTCAGATGAATGATATCTGATCTGAGGATATGACATTTGAAGAATGATAACCAAGGGAATGACGCTTAGGCGAACGAAATTCAGGGAAGCGGGGATTAGCTGCGTCGATTGCAATGCGTCGAAGTCAGGCTTCAAGGCAATACCAGATTCCAGGCGCCTGGCCTGAGAACTTCTAGACGTCTTTGTTTGCCTCTCATGTGTTAGGCTTCTCGCCTCTACAGCGATACCAGCTATAAAATCCATGTCAGATGCGGAAATTGGGGATAAAATGGAGAAAATGGGGACAATGGATAGGCCTCACGTTGCGACGCAGCGAGGGGAATCGATCCGCGAGGAACGGCAAGGGAGATCTCGAGGAGGCCATGGCGGAGACCCGCGTTCCGAACGTTATACGCGTTATTAGCTGCACCGCCGTGCGTATAGTTCGACGCTAGGGCAAATGCAACATCGAAGAACAGCAGGACGCTTACGGCAGCGAAAGTCATCCGACGTTGTTCCTTATAGACGTCTCTCATAGAATCTTAGGACGCGGAAGCTCTTATCGATTTTAGTAACGATCTACCGACAGCCTTCCAGCAAGCGCTATTTCAACATAGATTCCGTCGAGCGGAATAATACCAGACTACCGAATAGTTGCTACTCCGCACTTTTCAATGAAGACAACAGTGAGCACTTGGGGATACCCGTGCACTCGTCATCGCTATCCTTATCGCCTGACCTGATGCGCAACAAAGCAGGAACTACTATTTCCCACAAAGCAGGAGTGAATATGGCTATGCTAGGAGCCTAATGTGAGAAATTTCACCCTTGGGATTTGTGTGCGATGGTTGGTTGGTTGGTTTGCATCGAGTTTTGATCGTTTTGCGGTGGAGTCGCGAAAGTCAACGCCACGCAGTGCTGTCAGAAGATCTGCCACACCGAAATACGCGGTATTAAACGCTGCACTTCCTCAGCACTCCTTGTGCTTAAAGAGGGCGTCTCCTATTTTTTTCCGTTTTACAGTTGGTCCTATTAACACTTGGTTGGGCTCTGTGACTGGTTGACGAATCACAAAATCCGTGACTAGCTGGGGTCGCGTTTCTTTCTAACCAATCACTGACGCGAGAATCCAACCAAGTGTTAATGCTCGTAAAAATGAGACGCGAGCTGTAAGTGTTGAATGTGACATGATAATTCAGTTGAGAGTAAGGAATTGATTGACACCAGTTGGACAAGGGGGAGATGGCCTTTGTTCATCGGCTTCACTTTCATTTTCTGGGTAACATCAAGCAACAAAATTTTGAAAACATAGAAGCCAGCAATGCGGCAGCAGCAGCTAGCAGGTCACTCCACTTCTGCCAGATAGTCATTCACTTCAGCTGGAGTAAGCACTCTGCAATCCCCAAATAGCATGTACAGTAAGGCGTATGAAACAAAAAGGAGGGGGTTTAGTGACAGAACAGGCTGAAATACGAATCCAGGAAAGCAGAGACTTCCACCTCACCGCAGGGACTTGCATGTAGGAGGGAAACGTATAGAACATAAACTCTTCTGAACAGCCATAATGAACCTTGAAAGAAATTAACGCCCCCTCACCCTTTCGCTTTCTCTTGCTCACTATCGCCCTCACCTAAACTTCTTGTCGCTGCCCACAATGCCAATCTCAATGTTGTCGCCCGCAATTTGCCCCTCGAACCTGGTGAGGAAGTGAAACACGGGAGGGAGGGCAGGAGGGGATTAAGAGCTGAGAATGACAGAACACAACAGCAGCCAGACAGAAGTGAAGCACTCAAGAATCTTCAAAAGAGACACTACAAAGCACAGTGCTACACATATACCCTTCCAGTATGTGAGAGTAAGACGGGCCACACATACCCTTCTTTGAGAGTGAGAATGGCCGTGTGAATCGCATCCTCTAACTCCATGTCCTCCGTGTACCTGATACAGGCACACCCCCGCCCATACCAACACACCCCAGAAAAGCACACCCCATACAAGCACACCCCACATGATGAGAGCAAGTTATACAAAAACAAAAACTGAACGCTTCCTTGAAAGCACCAGCACCCGCGTGGATTGAAAGAAAAAAAACGAAAATAAATCTCCACAAATGTCTCTGGCTGCTACCAATCCATCCCTCCCGTCTCGCCTACTCATCCTAGCCCCGTCTGACCTTTTCTCGAGGAACGTCTTGGCGTTGGTCATGTTCTTGCCGATGGCAGATGCCTTCCATGCGAAGTAGGATCCTGAGGGATCCACCTGGTAGAGGTGTGGTCCCTGTGAGTCATACCCCGCCATCAGCAGCGACACCCCGAACGGCCTCACACCTCTGTGGTGATGCGAAGCACATATGGGAAGTATGTGTGCATGCGATGGGGGGAGGGAGGGAGGCACGCAAATGAGAGCCTGACGGGACCACATGGTAGAGGTGCGGGCAATGTGAATCACATATCCCGCCATCAGCAACGTCTCAACACAGACTGACTTTCAGGACGCCCTGGCTGCTCACCCGGACTGAGTGAACTCCTGCATGACCGCAATAGTTCCAACTCACTAACGGCACCATCGATTCTTGTTTTGAGACCTCTCAACACACACTGACTGACTTTCACGACGCCCTGTCTTACCCGGACTGGGTGAACTCCTGCATGACCGCCGCTGTCTCCCGCACCAGCTGTGACACTGGAATGACCTCCTGCCATGTGCATGGGGTGGGACATATGGGCACGAGAGGGGATGAGGAGGAGCACGGCGATGGACATGCGTGCGTGGTAGTGAGTGCTAACTGTGACTCTGTGACAACGGAATGACCTCCTGCCACGTGCAAGCAGTGGCAGTGCAAGGACGCACGAGGGACAGGACAGGGTGAGCGGCGGAGGAGAAAGAGGATGAGCATGCACGGAGGTGCATGGAACGGCGTGACAGAGAGCTAGGAGACACGACTTAGTAACCATGTGGCGACTAAGTAACGGCCACCCATTGCACAAAGAGGGCTAGGACGAGCATCTGAGAGCATGCTATGCTTATGCATGCTTCATCCTGTACTCGCTATAGCACGCCTCACCCTGTCCGCATTATAGCACGCCTCACCCTGTCCGCATTATAGCACGCCTCACCCTGTCCGCATTATAGCACGCCTCACCTGGTACACGCTATAGTACGACTGTGCTGACTTGCGGCTCTTCCTCACTAGCACCCGAGAGTCAGGCCCGATGCCACTGGTGGCGGTAGTGGGGACGCAGGAAAACGATGGAAAAATGCAGGAAGTGATGAGGCTCTCTAATCAACGCCAAATTCCCTCATGATGCGAGCGAGGTTGTTTAAGATACATGGTGCATGGGCACATGCGGGCATATGGGTGCATGAGCGGGACAGGTCAGGAGTGTGTTGGGTTGGGGGAGAGGCACACCTGTAGACGACTCCTGCGTTGTCTGTCAGCAGTTGAATTTTCTTCACCTGACACACACACGCACAGAAGTGTAGAAACCACAAACATAGGCATAAATAAACATCACAATCTCACTGGGATTTCATTTCACTTTGACGCCAGCAATACGAGAACGAGTTTTCGGCATCTATCAACCCACTACCGTATCTGAAGCAGCAGGCGACTTGCCTAAGAGGCAGAAAGAGGCGTACCGAGGTCTCGTCGATGAGCTCTGTGGGAAGCTTCTTTTCCGTGGCGATCACCACGCCGTTGGTCGCTGCCACGTTAGGATGCGACAGCGAAGAGACGGCTCGTGAGGACGCAGGTGAAGAGGCTAGTAACGGTTAAGAGCGGTATACCAGAGACGCAGAAACCTGTAGCGAGTGACAGTATTGGTGACATGAAACGGAGGAACGGCAGACGGAACGACATGTACCTTTGATGCCGAGCGATGTGGCGCCGGCAGCTACTGCGTTGAGTGCATACTCGATCTGCACCAGCTTCCCTGATGGACTGCGGAAGACGAGAAGACGAGGGAGGTGGATGAAAATTAGGTCAGGAACGAAACTGGCAGAGACTCGTAATATAACCTGGAAAGGTCTAACTGCAAGTTCATATCGAGAGAATTTCACTAAAAAGGAGCAGGACGGGAGTACGGAGGATGAGGTATGCGAGATTCCCCACCTGAAGGTGGTGAGGGAGAAGGAGTATTGACTATCGCCCATGGCGTCGCCGGATCTGCGACGGCTCGATGCGACTCAAATGCGACTGAATCCGAATCCAACGCGAATGCGACGCACGCAAAGAAACGGAAGCGACAGAGTACAGGTTCGCCTAAGTGACCGAGCGCGAAATCGAGGATAGCAGCGGCGCGCTGGATGTCTGTCGGACGACACGGGCGTCACCTGGCGAGTCTAGCAAGCGTCGATCTGGTAAATGAGAATGGGATTCTGCAGATAGCCGCTTCACGATGCAAGCCCATGGCAAAAATGGTTTGACGGAGATGTTCACTTTCTGTTTGACGAGTTGGGTTGAGTGCAATTCCGTGCAATTTGAAGCGGTGACAAATTTCACCGTTCTGAACCGCTGGTATTCATCTGTCCCTCGTCAGGTGTCAACGCACTTTGACTGACTCCCAAAAATTTGTAGTTTCAGTGGACATAACCAGGTTTGTTCGGCTAATCGAGCCTCCAATAACGGATCAGCATGAGAGTCAATAACGGAGCTAGCGAGGCGCCAATTAGGGATTTCCACTTCCCCCTTCCTCGTAGCAACTAATTAGTATCTGCTCTTTCCTTCTCTTAGCCACCGCTTTAGAAACTCCGCGTCACGAACGAGGTAGGCGGCATGAAGTGGGCGAGTCTCGAGCCGTTGATTTCCGCGATTCGTGCATTTGTCCCCGAGCTCGTGTCGGCGAAGCACAAAGGCCAAGCGGGTACGCCACTCGCATTCAGGTCGCGGTTCCCCCCGCGCAGCCTCTCACATGCTGCGGTTTCTTATTTCTGACGGCCCCATAAGAAATTCAAGCCGCTCCTCCGCATTCTCTGCGTCTCCGCTCGTTACAGGGAAGATCGCTGTGATTGGAGGATGTCGCGAGTACACGGGAGCTCCTTTCTTTGCCGCCTTTTCCGCGCTCAAGCTGGTGAGTCTGTCTGTGCAGCTGTCATGAGTACATGAGAGCGCCTCTCATGCCATGCTGGCATGTAATGACCACACCTACAAAGATGCACCAGTAGTACGTGAGTCTGTCCGTGCAGCTGGTGAACGAGGCTTTAAAGCTGGTGAACGAGGCTTTAAAGCTGGTGAACGAGGCTTTAAAGCTGGTGAACGAGGCTTTAAAGCTGGTGAACGAGGCTTTAAAGCTGGTGAACGAGGCTTTAAAGCTGGTGAACGAGGCTTTAAAGCTGGTGGGCTAGCCTGTGCAACACCTCTCACGCCGCTGCTCCCAGCAATTCATCCCCACCCCTTTCCCTGACCCCATCTCTCAACAGTCTCGGCCATCGTTATTCCCTCCTTCCCTTCGTTATTGTCACGCAGGGTGCAGACATTGCCCACGTGTTCTGCTCACGAGAGGCCGCGCCAGTCATTAAAGCGTACAGCCCAGAGCTTATAGTGCACCCGGCACTGAGGGAATCTTATGATGTCAGGTAAGCGATTACTCCTTGCTCCCTGACTCTACGGAATGAAGCTTTGCCGTTACTTTGTGTAATGTTCAGCACTGCAATCTGTCAATGCGACAATTTTTTTTGTCTTGCTTCGTCCCTTGTTTTCAGGCTTGACACGCCAGGTCAGCGGAAAGAGATTGTGGAAGCAGCCGTGAGGACGGTTTCTGATTGGCTGCCGCGGATGGACTGCGTTGTGATTGGGCCAGGGCTGGGCAGGGACTCGCTGCTGCAGGAATGTGTGGCTGACATCATGTCTGCCGCCCGGCACGCACGCATCCCCATGGTCATTGATGCGGTGAGTTGAGTCTCGCATCCCAGGAGCTGGCATACCTACACGTAGTTATGGCACACATCTATCTGCCACGCACCCAGTCACTCCACATTAATCAGCGCCGTTCCTATCCCACACCACATGCCTTGCGATGCCTTTGCAGGACGGTCTACACTTGGTGTCGAACCAGCCTCGGCTCATTTCCGGCTACCCCCTTGCCATACTTACACCCAACGTCAACGAGTTCGCTCGCCTCTCCCAGGCCGTGGCATCTCAGCGTGACTCCACAGCAGCTGCAGCACCAGCTGCTTCGGGGCCATCGAACTCCGCCAGTTCGCTCGCCCAGCTAGCGGCAGAGTGGGTATTTTCTTGTGACATGATAAAGCAATTTATTGCGATGCGGTGGCTGGTTACCTGCCGCACTTTCTCTTGTACTAACTGGTATGCTGCTTTTTTTGTCCTCTCTCCCCGTTTGCAGCCTTGGAAATGTCACCATTGTGCAAAAAGGAGCAGCTGATGGCATTTCGGATGGAAATGCAGGTACTGTACTGAAGAGTTTTTCGAGCATTACCACTGCAACCCTTTGCACACCTCTTAATCTTTCTGTGTTCCTTTGCCACCCCACCAGTTTTCGAGTGCGGCCTTTTTGGATCCCCCAGGCGATGTGGCGGGCAAGGAGATGTGCTCTCAGGAAGGTGAGATGCGACTTCTCTCATACTGCTCCTTGATACAGTTAATAACCTGTACGCAAGTGCCGTGTTGCTACACTGCACATCACCTCATTACCTCTTCGCATGTTGACACGGCATGTGCGGGTTACCCTGCTTCCAGCATTGCAGTGTTTTTCGTCTGGGCCCGCAAGTGGCAGCAGCGGCTACAGGAAGAGCAGCAGCAGGGGGGTGGTTCTTCCGATGCTGAGATGCAGCAGCTGGTGGCACAGCAGCTGTCGGACAACCCAGCAGTCATGGCAGCGTTTGCAGGGTCGCTGGTGGTGAGGAGAGCGGCAGCAGATGCCTTTGCCAAGCACAAGCGCAGCATGACCACGACCAACATCATTGAATGCCTTGGCGAATGGTAAGGAAATACGGTGCATCCTTGTAGATACACTGTACCATCAGCCCATGCTGTGTTTTTCCCTCAGTTGCCTTGATACCGTACGTTTGTTATGTGTGTGGTGTATTTCTTACCGTTTTGCCCAACAGTGTTGAAGACCTTTTCCCTGTTGGTCCATGGGTGCCACAGCCAAACCTGTGATTGAACATGTGTGGATAATGTACCGTAATCTCCCGTATATAGGACCCGGGGGTCTTATCAGAAATGTTGTGAATAATGATTAGGTGAACAATACCAAGGGGCATACTTACTACCGTAAGCCCCCGGATAGAAGCGCAGGCCTCGGATAAGCGCCGGCGCTTATAAAAGGATGAGGGCGCTTATATCCGGTCCTCGATTATAAGCGCACCCCCTGAGAATTCATGATTTATTATAAGCGCATGTCGATTTTTTTTCTTGAAAAACTGTCGAATTACAGAAACGAACTTCGCCTTAGCAGGGAAACGAAGCACAATTCCAGTTTCCCACTCAAAATCTCACTTGCTGCGCGTCTAGTCAGCACGCGCTGTCGCTTAGTCAGCATGTGTTGGCAGGGAATCAATCCCTGCCAAGCTGCGCGAGATTCGGATTCGTGACCCCATATAGTTTCGACTCGATGAAAATGGGCAGAACGAGATCTACAATTTTGTGTAAAATAAACTTAATTTCATTTTTGCCATTATATAAACGCCGGCGCTTATAAAAATCCTCGATTATAAGCCCACCCCCTAAAAAACAGTGTTTTTTTATACCCCCAGGGGCGCTTCTATCCGGGGGCTGACGGGTAAGACCCCTGAACACATTAAGAATTCATAGAGCACAATGTATTCACTCATAGCACTGGAAAGTCAAGCTTTTACCCTGACGCGGATTCGAATCTCAACAGTAAAATCCACGCAAAATCGAATCCTGACTGGAATTCGACGCGAAACTGTCTCGCGTCACCGTTTTGTGCCTGATGACGAGTCAGCCGAGCATCACCAACCCCCCAGATTCGTTAAGAATATAACATTAATTTGAAAATTTGACGAAGGAGGGGGGTCTTAAAATATATATTTAAAAAAGGGGGGTCCTCAAGAGAACAGGTCGGAATAAAAGACCCTTGGTCCGGAAAGAGGACCCGGGGTCTTCTCCGCGGGGGGGGTACTGTATCCGGGAGATTACGGTAGTTTAGATTGTCTGCCCTGCTCTAATGCACATGTAAGGCAACAACAAAGTTGCGGCAATGTAATATATATCAAGCTCCACAACAAAATGTAAAGATACTCGACACATGCTGCTAGAGTTGTAAGAACTGCTAGTGCTGAAAGAAGCAGGTGGCGCATGGATAACAGAGGGGAGCCCAAAGAACCATAAATATGTGTTGGGAGGGAGATCGCTCTACATCGGGCAGCTTGCTAGGAAAGCTTGCCCTCAACAAGCCCTCTAGGAGGCATTCTCCTGTTCCTGCCCCACCTTGCGGCCAAGCACATCACGAAGGAATGGCCCGCGGAACTGTGCCTGGGAGCGAGTGAGCAGCGGCACCCCGAACTCCATGTTGGAGCTCTGTAGCACATGAATTCACCGCATTAGCATAGCCATACAATGACAAGGCAATTCAAAGAGACAACTACCGTAAGGCGGACAGGCCCATTTGTGGAGTGGGGAAGAATATGGACTACCGAACTTACCACAGCACAAATGCCACGGTCAGAGCGGCAGACAGGGAACAACGGAGGGCAGCAGTGGATGTGGTCGTCACAGCAGGTGGCTTGCGCATAGGGGCAGCATCCCCACTTCAAGCACTTGTTCTCGCCGGAAGGGACAATGCAGCAGCAGGTGGTGCCCTGGGGGCACTTGTACCGGCTGTCACACTCCTCAGGAGAGCCAAGAGGAGTAGGAGGCTGAGGGCCGGGCAGTGAGTTAAGCACGTTCTTAATAGGGTAGGACGCCTGCATAATGCCAACCACAAGGCGATGCGAGTTTAAAGCCGAATAGCCGCATGAAGGAGTGAATAATAACAACCAACAGGCATCTCAGTAACGTTCACCTGGGGAATCGATAGGAAACCAAACCGGGTGTCAGACACGGCTCCGCACCTGCATGGCGATACCGCACTGGCCTTCCTCAGCTTCGACGTTCCTGACCAGCCTGATGTAGCCGTGGTCACCCCAGCGGGGACCCCATGAGTTCTTCACAATCCAGTAGTCCGTTCCGTTCTCTGTACCGTATCCGACGGCCAGAACACCATGGTCCAGAGCTGTGCCGCACTCACCGTTGAAAATGCCCTGCAAAATGACAGAACTAGCCTGTTAGCTCTATCAAAAAAAGGGGAAAGACACGCTTAGTGTAGGTTGTTTGGCTAATGCCACTTACACTCGAATAGAACTGGAATCCCCTCAATTGCGACGGCAACAGGTTGCACCGCAACTGCCTTCTTCAGGTCAGCCTCGCTGTTGGAAGGAACGTCCTCGTAGCCGTCAATTGTGACAGCGTGGGTGTTCATCTGTACATGCAACGAGGAATCTGTGTCAGCTCAAGCTTTTCTTTATAAATACAAGCGTCGTTTGTGATTGTTTTTAAACCAGTCACTTACCTTCCGCTTGTTGCACTTGTGCCCTGCTGCGTCGTAAGGATAATCCTTCTCCGTGTCAAGACCGCCGTTGTTGATAATAAACTCGAATGCAGAGTCCATAAGACCACCACCACATCCCTGATCCTGCTCCGTGTCGCAGTCAACCAGCTCCTGCTCTGACACCGAAATCAGCTCGCCAGTCACGATCTTGTTGATACCTTCAACAGCTCCAGTTGCGGAAAATGCCCAGCAACTCCCTGCGAAACATCGAATTTATAATATAAGCAGTACGTAAAAATGACAAATCTCGCGATCAATTTGAAAACAAAAATGATGAATCAGGGTGAGAGGATCAGTAACCTTACCGCATTGACCCTGATCCTTGACTTCAGTCACCGCTCCCTCCTTTCGCCAGTCGACTTCCTCTGGAGCGTTGACGTCAGCGTGCATGAAGTTTCCGCGAAGCGGCCTGCCGCTGCGAGAATCCATGTCCTTACGGAAGCCCAAGCGCGTCGACTTGAACTCCTCGTGCGACAGGTGAGCGAACTCATTGAGAGCAAGAGTAAACTTCTTGCCCTGCGAGTTCAGGTTGTGAACGAAGTGCAAGTTATCCACGAACGTGCGGAAGCGAGACTCCTTCTCAGCGAGTCCGAAAACCATGCCGTGCTTCACGGACCATCGCTCGAACAAGGCCTGCAACGAGACTTCGTTCTCTAAGTCCGAAGGGACGTAGCCCAGATCCGCACGAGCAGCGCTGACCAGACAGCACAAAGCAACCAGAGTCACGACCAGCGTAGCAGACGCCATTGCGGAGGCCTGGACAATATGTGATCAAACCCAAGAAACTACCGAGATCGAACTGAGCATGACAGAAAGCAGACGGCATATCGCTTCTTATAAGTTCCTGTGTCACCCCGGACACTCCACCTTCCATCCTAAACCCGAACCTGAAGCATTACGCTTCGGGAGTTTTGCGAGTGCTCACGACGTTCGCAACTGACGGTTCGCCTTAGCTAACGAGCGTCGTAAATGTCGTGATGTACGTACGTGGTTGTCCACCAGCCCCAGCCGCGTTCATAAGAGGCAGATGTGGCACGTCTGACTCAGCACTGCGTGGACAGCAGCATAAGTAACCTGGTCGGTGATCGTAGTCTGTACGATAGAAGACGTACAGCACTCGGTGATCTTAGCTTACGTTAGAGGACGTACAGCACTCGGTGATCTTAGCCTGTACGTCGTCTACTCCGAGTGCGGAACAGCAGCAGCGGAGTGTTGCCTCAGATGCTGAAATGCAGCAGCTGGTAGTAGAGCAGCTGTCGGACAATCCAGCAGTCATGGCGGCGATGCCGGATCGCTGGTGGTGAGGAGGGCGGCAGCAGCTGCCTAAGCAGAACCGCAGCATAGCAACGACCAACATTGGCGACTGGTGAGGAAATAATGGCGGGTCAGGCGTAGTTTGTATTTAGATCAAGAATCAGTGCTCAGACTGGTGGGGAGCGGTTCAAAACGGTGAATCAGGCAAACAGCTGTAGGATGCATAGCATCTTTATCCAACACGTAGATTGAACAGAAACCGAACAAAAGTCTGACCCGGCCCAAATAGTGGTGGTGCAATGTACAGCAACATGATGGTATGTTTCTTCCAACCTTTTAGTTTGGTGTGAAGACTTCTTTACCCTAAGCCCATGGGAGCCACAGCCGAAACTCTAGGATGACGTGGGTAGTTGTTGAACATGTAGGCAACGTCATTCAAATCTATATTATCAGGCTCTGAAACAAAGTGTACAGGTATTCTACGAGCGCTAATACGGTATTACCAAAGAAAGTGTGTGGCACATGCTACCCACACCGCCTCAACAGAGAGCCCAAAGAATCATAATCATGTGATTGGTCGCGCGTGAGGGACAGACAGCAGTCCAAAGGACAGCTTCCTAGGAGAGCCTTGCCCTCAACAAGCCTTCTAGGAGGCATTCTCCTGTTCCTGTCCCACCTTGCGCCCGAGCACATCACGCAGGAACGGCCAGCGGAAATGTGCCTGGGAACGAGTGAGCAGAGGCACTCCAAACTCCATGTTGGGGCTCTGCAACACGTAAATTCATCAAATTAGCATAGCTAGCCATACAATGTTTGAGTTCAGAAAGGGAACCAAGACGGGTTGGCGCATGTGTAGAGCCTGGATGAACTTACCATTGTGCAAATGCCAATGTCAGTGCGGCAGACTGGATACTGCTGAGGGCAGCAGTGGTGGTGGTCGTCGCAGCAGGTGGCATGCTCCATGGGGCAGCATCCCCATGACAGGCACACCTTTCCAAGAGGGAGACCGCAGCAGCAGGTGGTGCCGTGAGGGCATTCGTGCTTGCGGTCACAGACCTCAGGAGAGGGAGGAGGAGTGGGAGGAGGCTGAGGGCCGGGAGGTGGGTTGGGCCCCTTCTTAATAGGGTAGGATGCCTGCATGAAGCCAACCACAAGGAGATGTCAGTGGAAGAGTCAAATACCCGCATGGATTAGCTCACGGGCATCTCAATTACAGGTGCACGATCTAGAGAAACCAAACCAGGTGTAACACATGGCTCCATACCTGCATGGCGATACCGCACTGGCCTTCCTCAGCTTCGACGTTCCTGACCAGCCTGATGTAGCCGTGGTCTCCCCAGCGAGGTCCCCACGAGTTCTTAACGATCCAATAATCTGTTCCATTCTCTGTGCCATATCCGACGGCCAGGACGCCATGGTCCAAATCCGTGCCGCACTCTCCGTCAAAAATACCCTGCAGGGTAAGAAAAAGTTAACTGTTAGCGTTGGCAGAAACAGGGAAATGCTACGCATAGTGTAGGCTGTTCGGCTAACGCCACTTACACTCGAATAGAATTGGAATTCCCGGCGATCTGCCTCAATTGCGACGGAAACAGGCTGCACTGCAAGCGCCTTCTTCAGACCAGCCTCGCTGTTGTTAGGAACGTCTTCGTAGTCGTCAATTGTGACAACGTGGGTGTTCATCTGAACGTGAAACGACGGATCCGTGTCAGTTCATGGTTCCATATAATTATACACCTCTTTTGTGTCTGTTTAATAAAAACTACGTACCTTCGCCTTGTTGCACTTGTGTGCTGTTGCGTCGTAAGGATAATCCTCCTCGGTGTCAAGACCGCCGTTCTTAATGATGAATTCGAACGCGAAGTCCATGAGACCACCACCACATCCCTGATCCTTCTTCGTGTCGCAGTCAACCAGCTCCTGCTCTGACAGCGAAATCAGCTCGCCAGTCACGATCTTGTTAATACCTTCGACAGCTCCCGTAGTCGAAAACGCCCAGCAACTCCCTGCGAAACGCAATTGTAAGAATCAGCTAGTGTTTTGTAAAATCTTAAACAATTCGCGACTTCATGATTCGAAAACGTCAGGGTGAGAGGATCAATAACCTTACCGCATTGACCCTGATTCTTGACTTCAGTCACCGCTCCCTCCTTGCGCCAGTCGACTTCCTCCGGAGCGTTAACATCAGCGTGCATGAAGGTTCCGCGAAGCGGCCGGCCGCTGCGAGAGTCCATGTCCTTACGGAAGCCCAAGTGTGTCGATTTGAACTCCTCGTGCGACAGGTGAGCGAACTCATTGAGAGCAAGAGTAAACTTCTTGCCCTGCGAGTTCAGGTTATGAACGAAGTGCAAGTTATCCACGAACGTGCGGAAGCGAGACTCCTTCTCAGCAACTCCGAAAACCTTGCCATGCTTCACGGACCATCGCTCAAACAGGGCCTGCAGCGAGACTTCATTTGCTAAGTCTGACGGAGAGTATCCCAGATCCGCACGAGCAACGCTGACCAGACAGCACCAAGCAACCAGAGTCACGACCAGCGTAGCAGACGCCATTGCGGAAACCGACAGCCTGTGATCAAACCCAAGAAACTACCGAGATCAATGTGGGTATGACAGGGAACAGACGGAATATCCCTTCTTGTAAGTTTCTGTGTGACCCTGCACACGCCACCTGCTTTTCTTCCTTTCCCCTGTTTTCCTAAACCGAGCTGTCTTGTTGATGTCCTCCCACCCTTAGGAACTGGAACGGTTGAGACCTTGAAGTTCGGGAGCTCGCGAGAATCACGAGAATCGCAACTGACGGCTTCTGTATGTTTGCGAGCTTCGCGCATGCGCGAAAATGTCGCTCCTGCTCATATAGCACACGGCTGTGATGTCAACCAGTCCCATCCAGGTTCAGGGTCTGGAGTGAGAGGCAGATGTGGCACGGCTGACACAACACAACGTGTACAACAGCAAAAGTAAGGTCAGCCTGGTCCCCACTGACAACTTTTTACAGTGGCTTTTCTCGCGATTGGAGGATAATGATGACGTTCACCAAGATATCGCCACGCAGCAGTACTTTGAGATGAAGCCGTCGATCTGCGACACCTCGTCAAACAATCTGAAGGCGCCACTGTCAGGTGGGGAATCTGAGTTGGCTTCAAATGGCTTGGGTTGGATTACGTCAGTCGGGACGGAATTGTCGTTGTGCGAGTTCGGTCTCAACCACACGGGACCATGCCGGAATCGCACTGGGCCGTAACAAACCTCTGTGAATACCATCACAGAGCATCAACAGACCTGCCATTTGGTTCAGGCCACACTGTGCTTGTTTGGAGAAGCTGTGTGCGAGTTACAATGTGCTTCGCCGGTGTCGCCAGTCTGCGACACTCTGGACGACAACCTCTTGTTACCAGAGATTCGCAGATCACCAAAGCACCAGAGGGGGCTATGACGGAAATTTTAGGAAACTGTTCAACAGCAAGTTTCACGGCTTCGGTTGGGACAGCGCGACCAGTTTTGAATTCGTGCAATTTCGGAGCCACGTTCCAAACTATCCCAGCAGCGGCTTCGCGTCATATCCCCTTCCTATCGACAGTCAATGCTCGCAGTCTTCAACGTTTGCCCCTCCTAATCACGTCTGCTGGTTTCCGTTGAAGCAGCTAGGGGTGGACTTAGGCAATGATCGCCGAAGACATATGGTCATCGTGCCGTTAAGGTAAGACGGATCAATCAGGGTGAAGCTGTGGCTCACAAAAAGCGAGAGTTGCGGCCAAGAGGGGTATCGCTTAGTAGCAAGGACATGGGAGGTCACTAGCAGGAGAGGAGGTGGAGGAGGGTTAGAATGGAGAAAGAGTCGTGAATGTCGTATCAGATGCTACCGTAAGAGACTCGTCGGACACATTAGTTCATTGCGTATGATGGGCATCCGCCTTTAGTTCATAGTGTGCTGTTACCGGTACCTGTTTCCGCTCCCCCACCTTCCTCATCAGCTCTCCATGTCCACGCAGCAGTAACCACGTCTGAGCGTCAGTGCTCTAGCTTCGACATGGCCGAGCCTGTGACTCTGGGTCGGTTCGTCGGAGCGTTGGGCAAGACATGGGCGCTCATAGGCGCGCTCTACCTCTTTGACAAGTACTCGCCTCTCGGCTGGTGGACATTCAAACCTCGCCCTAAGGTGGCCTGCTTGTCCCAACCCATGTTTGTTCTGCCTGTGCAATGCTGCTTGCACAAATACGTTTGCCATCCTGTCGCACATGCGACCATGTATGCATCTGAAGCTTGGTACACAATTTCTTCTGATTTGGTCTCTACTCTCCCTATTGGTACCCCTCTGCAACTCTCCCCCGTTTCCCATTCCCCGCCTCACTCCCGCTCATCCTCCCGGTGCTTCTGCTCCTCCCCTTTCACCACCCAACCAACCACAGGAGGAGAGGGCCATGGCGCACTTATACGAGAGGGGCCCCACGCCCTTCCCAGGGGACGCAGCAGCCGGCGACCCGCACGCAGTGGACCGTTACTTTGAGCGCGGTGGTGTGGCAACCACCGTCGTGCCGGCCCGGTTCCGCCAGTCCTCTTCGGCTGGCAGCGCTGGTGCTGACGTGGAGGGGCGGCGGGCGGTGGAGGAGCAGCGGGTGAAGCGGGAGGCGCTGAGGCTGTGGCTGCGCATGAGGAGGGAGGCAGAGAGGGAGCTGAGGGCACAGGGATATGATCCGATGCAGTGAGGCTGTAAGTAGATGGGAGCTTAGTTTATGTTACGAGAAGAGTGTACTCGCTCGGACGAAGTGGTGCATTTGTGATTTGGAGGAACAGTGGCTTGTGAAAGGTGTTGATGCTGTGGCTGTGTTGGGTAGCTAGCAGGCCGCGACAGCACTTAGTGGAAGTCTTCAAGAGTAGGCCGCGAATACGGGATTCAGCCATGTCTTTGCGTGCATAGGCCTACCAATATTTGTGCATGGCTGAATCTCAAACCAGATTAGTCATGAAGTTTGTACAAGCAAACTCTACCGTATCATCACTCTGCTGGGCTTGGTGGGTGAGTGAATGGGGTGATGGGGGGGGGGGGGGTCGGATAAGTAGTGGATTGGTTGGGGATGAGCAGTCGAGGGGCGTTGTTGGTTCATTGGGGGGCTGTTGGGTGGTGGGTGGGTGGTGGTCTGGGTGTGTTCGGGGTGGTGGGCTGGCTGCGATACAGTGGGATGGGCAGAGTGGGTTGGCTGGACGGGAGGAAAGGGGTTGTAGGATGGGACTGGAAAGGGTGACGAAGACAGGCTGAGATGGGAAAGGTCGGGCAGAGAAGGTGGTCGGGACGGGATGGTAATTAGAGTGGAGGAAGGGTGTGCAAATCGAAATGAGCAAGCGCATGATAATGGGTGCACACAGGCACGGTACATGGTGTAGTACCATACTATAGCATGTTCAGTTTGTCTCGCGGTGTGTGGAACTGCTTACTGTAATGTCATCATGAAGCTAAGGTGTGAGTCAAATTATGTAAAAGGAAGAAAACTAACATAGGCGGAGTCTGCATTTTTTTGGCAAATATTAGTTGTTTTCTGGTAATGTTTGTACCAACCAAACACAACTCCTTTTTGTGTATATTAATAGCATAGGAAAAATCTCTCTTATCGAGAACATCCGCACTTGACATTCAAGTATGGGCCGAGCCTCAAGGCCTGCGAAAGATATCAGACCAGATCAAGAAATCGAGGCTCGACTGTTTCAAGGAACAGATAAGCCCAATATCCGACGGCGCGGAATGGTTCGGCAAGCTGCCACATCACAGGTCTGGTCAGGTTTCATGGATGAAAAGGATGGTGATTCGAGGTTGCCTGTTGCCACGTCACGAGTTCCCTTCGTGCATTCATTCGCTCGAGTCTGAACTCCTTAGCCATATCAGTAACCACGAGCCACTAACATGGGAGTTACACAGTCGTTCGCCACACCAGAAGCTATTGCAACTTTCGCCAGTCTTCGCCACTAGGAATTTCACCCACAGCCAAACTGGTCACCCAGTCTCACGCAAATCAAAGCTTCACGGAAGCCCCTTCCGCCTGCGAAGCATGCAAGCAACCCAATTTCACACAACGGCTCTCTTACACGGGCTAGGGTTTGGTGGCGTCTCATTGGCCAGCACCGACCGTTCGAACTTGAGCGACACGACGACAGATCTTGAACTGGCGGGATGACGGATCCACCTGATAGATTTACAAATCAACGGTGGAAAACCATAGGCTTTTCGTTCGTTCCTTCTTGGCCTTGATTCCCGCTTCAGTTAACGGACCCTTTCTGGGGGATTCTCTTTGTCGGTGCAGCCGCTTAACGGCGATTGTGACACGTGACGAGTGTAACCAACGGAGAGTTCCAAACCACCTGAACCGCACAATCGTTGGAACTTCGAGCGACGGTTGAGATTGAATCTCACTCCAACCTCCCCAGAGATTATTCGTTTAGAGCCGTTAGATCCAGTTAATGAGAAACCACTCTCATTCCGAGAGGTGGTGAGCCTCAATCCGTGACCCCCTCTCCTCATTCTGGCCCGTTCTCAGCCAATTTCGACTCAATTTCTCTCCCATATGGCTCATTCTGCTCGTTTCCAGCTGAGATTGAGAGCATTCTCCTTCGTCTTGCTAGCGAAGCTCTTGCATTTTGTTTTCGGTAGCCGTAACTCTCCGCTCACATCGAGATCGTCTCTCATTTGACATTCGCGAATCAGCAGCCAAATCGCCAAGCTGCACTCAGTTCGTTGTGCAGTTCCAGCTTTCGAATTTCGGTGTGTACTTCGTCGCTTATTCGTCATTACTTGGAGAATTCCGCTTGTTTTTCACATGCACGACCTAACTAACCAGATCGCTATTTTTTCGCGTTGCAGGTTTCCTTCACGTTCACAGACCATTGAACTCGACTTTAACATCGTCGCCAAGCTGCCGTGAAGTCGTGAGCGATTTCTGGTGAGCGTCTTTCGTATCGCCCTTTTCAGTCCGTTTCTCATCGTTTGTAGTAATATCCGCAGCCTATTCTCACATCTTTTTCAACCGACTGAGCTTTATTTCTCTTGATATTGTGCAGGTTCTGCTCACGCTGTCTCGCCAAGCAAACGGTTGGTGGCTGCTCGCTATGTGATTGCGTCGCCAGCTTCCGGATTCGCGTTTCTTGGTGACGTTCTCGTCGTCCGCGCGTTGTCGCAAGGCGGAATCGTTGTCTGCAATTCGTCTTATGGCGAAATCTTCATCCGCGAATCGTGGCATGGCGAAATGGTCGCGTGGCAGCAGGATCAGCTCTCTCTCGGTCCTTCTTCAACCGCCAGCTAAGTGCCTTTTTCAACCCTCGCACTCTGTTGCTTTTTGTGCTTGCACCATGCATTCACTCCCTCTTTCACTGCCCTCTGTCACACCCATGAGGCCCCCCTCCCCCAAGGTAACAGGTATGTTCTTTCTTGGTACAGCCTCAGGTATTTATTTGACTTTGGTTCAGCTGGTACGAGGTCTCTTGGGTGTGCCACTGCAGCAGTCCATTCATGCACGCATCAACTTGCACATTCTGCGCTCGTCACTCTCCCTTCACTCCACTCGTCTGCTTCCTTCCTCATTGTCCTCACCACGCCCGTGTCCCCCCCTCACTCCCCCGTTTTTTTCTCCTCCTCCTCCTCCTCCTCCTCCTCCTCCTCCTCCTCCTCCTCCTCCTCCTCCTCCTCCTCCCCCTCCTCCTCCTCCTCCTCCTCCTCCTCCTCCTCCTCCTTCTCCTCCTCCTCCTCCTCCTCCTCCTCCTCCTCCTCCTCCCTCCTCTCTCTGTCCAGATCTGCCCTCTCTTGTCCCAGCAGGTCGCTCATCACACGGGTGTGGCAGTGGCGGGGGACATGGATGGAGCACACAGGCAGCAGCTTATTTTCACCCAACCCAACCACAGCTAAGTACCCCGCCCTTAATCTTTTCTCCCAACACTCACAATCTGTTGCTTTCCATGTCATGCTTGCACCATTCATCACACTCCCTTCTTCACTGCTCCCTGTCACACCCATGAGACCTCCCTCCCCCAAGGTAGCAGGTATATTTTTTCTTGATACAGCCTCAGGTATTCTCTTTAGTTTGGTTCAGCTGGTACGAGGTCTCTTGGGTGTGCCACTGCAGCAGTCCATTCATGCACGCATCATTCTTGCACTTGCTGCACTCTTTGCTCTCACTTCACCCTCTCATCTTTGCTTCTTTCCTCTCCCCTGCTCCCCATTCACTTGCCCGTTTTCTCC